TGCAAAACGGAGAGTTGGTGCTGTCATTGAGGGTTTGTGTCGTGAATGTGCATCACCTCATGTAGCTAAACATAAATAACAACCAAGCAAAGTGTGTAATTCGAGAAAAACAAAGAAATTAGCAATTAGGCATTTTGTCGAACACATTGCAGGCATGGTGTTCGGTTTCAAGTTTCACAACAATAGGAGGGTGTAGAATTAACCAAATTTTCAGCAACACAAATCATTCAAAACTCCACAACTAACTAAGCCCAACCGCCCATGCACAATAATCAACAAAATTCGAAAAGAAGAAAACCTAAAAATGAGGAAGAGGGTCGAAAATGCTTACCTCGAGGGAGTTCGTTGGTGAGGTGCAATTTGCAGGTGGGTGTGGATGTGTGTGGATGTGTGAGTGAATGTTACAATTCGATGAGAAGGGGAAGGGTGTGTGCTCGTGTGGTGTCGATTGGGGGGACGTGAAAGGGAAGGGAGGGGTTTTGTACAAAAAAAAAGGGGAAGAAAAAAAAAATTTATAGAGGAAGCCCTTGCGATCGCAAGGGCATAATGCCTGCGATCGTAAGGAGGAATAGGTCAGGACCAAAGCAGGTCCTGATTGGGTTTGGGCGATCGCATGGTAGTTATACCATGCGATCACAAGGAAAATATTTTTTTTTTTTATGGCATGCAAAAGAAAACAAACTAAATAAACCAATGACACATCACATCCATCCTAAAAAAAATATAAATAATCCCGAAAAACGCAATGTAGGTCTATTTTCACGAAAACTTGAATGCCGAACCTAAATGCCACTCGATGCTTCAAAGCTATTACAACTGAGCAATATTCATTTCAAAGTGCCGTGTGTGCGTGTAAACCATGAATGGCATGTCAAAAACAACTTGAGTCCCGAAAACACAAGATTGCCTCTTTGGCCTCGATTTACGTGAATCTTTGAACAAAAGTGATAAATGACCCCGAAAACACCCCCCAAACTGCTTCTTAATATGTCATAAATGGCATGAAACCATGCTTGCATGTGTAAAGACTGATAGAGACGGTGGATCACTTAACATGCCAAAAATGAGAAAAATCATGGAAAAATGCAATGTTGCACTCAAAACCTCTTTGCATCCCTCATTGTCAAAATGAGAGTCCAAAATGCTTGCATCCTACACAAACCCACTTCTGACCATAAAATGCTCATGGAAGCACGATGTGGTGTGAAAAAGCATGATGTAACTTAAAAACCCAAGTTGACCTAAAAATCACAGTTTTGGGAAAATAGTGTTATAAATAGCTCAAATACCCCCAAACTGTCTCAAGACACATTGCTCACTTCCCGAGGTGTTGATAATTAATTAGAACACATCCAACAACAAAATTGCCCATGAAAGCACATGTTGGGTTGAAAACGCAGAAAAATGAGTATGTGGCCTAGAGAAGCGTGAGTTTTTGTCC